TAAAAAAGCCCTGTAAAAAGCTTTTTTTTTTTTTTTTGCTACTCTGAAACTTGTATCCAATGGTAACAAACTCCTGCTAAACAACTTTCTGTTCAATGTTCCTTCCTTAGACTGATCCATCGATCCTTGGTGGCATGATTGTCAATATTGGGGAGAAGTACGTGGACATGTCAACAAGATCCAAGATCCAGAAACTCACCAAAATCATGAGAGAGACTGTCTAGAGAGCTGTCCTGGTCATTCCCAGGGAATCCTGTCCCAGGGAAACAATAAAATTCTTCCTTCTCGTGGAGATGGTGCCCAGAGTTTTGGTTGGGGAAGCACAGCCCTGAGGGAGGAAGATGCTGAAGCTGCCCTGAGTTTCTGTAGCTGTGGCTGAACATTCGTGGCATGACTTGAAATTGTGGCTCACCCTGGGGAAGGTGGCTGGGAAGGACATGGAAAGAGCACTGAAGGAGCTGGTGAATGGGGTCAGTGCATGCAGGGTCTGCCAGGCTCCCCAGAAAACTCTGGGGGTCAATCTGCACTGCCCAGATGGAGGGAAGGGGTGGCAGGAGATGGCCTGAAGTTCCACCAGGGGAGGTTCAGAATGGTGATTGGAAAAACATTCCCTGGAGGATCAATCAGGCCTTGGGATGACCTGCCCAGGGAGGTGGTTGAGTCTCTGGGAGTGTTCAGGAGGAGTCTGGGTGTAGCTCATGGGACATGGTTTGGAGTGACGATGGTGGCACTGGATGATCCTGAAGGTCTCTTCCAACCATGATGACTCCATGACATGTGAATATTTGGACCAGGATGTTCACCCATTTCTTCTGTCCACAGGGACAACCAAGTGTCTCCCTCCTCCCTTCCCAAAATCCAACAGCAGAGAGTCCCTAGGCCAGCATTCTCTCTGTGGGAGCAGCAGGAAGGAAGTTTGAGGACTTCTGCAGCCCTGAGAGAGGGGAAGGCAGGAAATCTCCTTTCTTTCTGTCTTTTCCACACCAAAGGAGACTCCTGCAATGGGAAAAGGAATTGTTCATGGTGGAGCTGCCCTGTGGGGCTCCAGCGAGAGGAGGGGCCTGGGGATGAGGACAGTGAGATGTACCAAGAGGGGCGGGAGAGGGAAGAACGTGTGACAACCCAAGAGATTTCCCAGTGGGAAATAGATGTGAGTGGGTGGCAGGAGATGGGATGGGGAGAAGACGAGAAATGCCACGAGGGCTGTCCCTGCAGAGAGATCTGAGTGTCCCAGAGGATTCCCAATGGGATGATGCCCAAGAGCGTTCCCAGAGGGAAGGTGAGAGGTACCAAGACCTCTCAGCATGGGGACAAGGTGTGCACTGCCACATGTCCCAGTGGGAAGACAGGAGAGAGCTGGAATTGTCCCAAGTGAGAGACAGCAGTGGCAGGGAGCTGTGCCAAGGAGCAGACGCTGCAGCCCAAGAGCTGCCCCGGTGGGACGATGTGAGGGAGCGAAAGCTGTCCCAAAGGGAGGAAGATGTGAGCAGGCAGGAGCTGTCCCGATGGGGACACAACATCAGCTCAGAGATCTGGGACAGACCCTTGTGCCCAGTGAGGGACGAGGAGCCTCAGCCTTGTCCCCCAGAGGGGCCCAGCTCTGCCAGCCCCGTGGGCACAGAGGTGGCAGCAGAGGCAGTGCCTGCCCTAACCAGCGCCTCTCCTGCCCCACAGAGTCCCACGGAGGCCGAGCCGGCAGCTGCTGCCCCGGCTGGAGCTGCTGAGGAGGCAGCAGCGGGGTCAGGGCTGGCAGTGCAGGAGAGGATGGATGACGACGAGGAAATGAAATTCTGGTGCCGCACTCCCTCCGAAATAAAGTTTTTCCCGGCCTAGCTCTAGCTCCGGAGGGAGCGAGCAGGTTCCCCGAGCCCTCCGCTGGGCCGATGTCGGGGGGCTTTGCAAGGCTCGGGATGGGTACTTGACCCTTCTGGCTGAAGTGGACCTGGACCCTCACGGCGGAAGGAAAGAAGCTGTCCAACTCCGGGGGGCGAAACGATCCTTTTATTATCCTCAAGGTGAGGAGACGAACAGACGAGGATCTAACTGCAACGAGCAGTGCCTGCCGGAGAAGGTGCTGGAACAGAGCTGACATGGGATTTTATAGGGTATGGGGCGGGGAAACTTGCGACCAATAGGGATTAGGTGGGGGTGGCTCCCTGGGGGAGAGGCTTTGGGGAAGGGACAATGGGATGGGAGCATGGGAGGGGCCCCAGGCCTTCACCCAATCACCTGACGCCCTGGATGGAAGCTTCTAGATGGTGAGGTGGGGCGCCGGATGACTGGCGGGGCTCCGGGGAGGGGATAAGGGAGTGGTCTGGTGGTGTGATGGGTGATGGACAGGGGTGGAAGGCGGGAAAGGATGGGCCATACCAGCAGGGGAGGGGGTACATAAAACATGCCGAATACAAAGTCGAACATAAAAGAAAAGCCCACCCGTACATAATAATACCGCAATTGAACATAAACTAACACAACTCCACATTCTGGCAATTCTTGTATGACCTGGAGCCTTTCCTGGTTGGAGACCCAGAGCTGTCCCAGGTGTGAACAATGCACAGGGGAAGATCTGCCCCACAGGGAAGTCACGAGTTATCACAAACTCACTGACTGGGAAAAATATTTGGACCAAGACCAGTCCCAGGGAGAAGTCAGCAGCTCCCAAGACCCCTCGGACTGGGAAGAATGCATCAAGCAAGCACTGTCCAGGGGAGATGTCTGCAGGTGGGAAAAATGTTCAGACAGGGAAGAACGCATTGGCCAGGACCTTTCCCAAGGAGAAGCCTGCATTGGCCAAGAGGTGTCCAGAGGGAATGGCAGCAGACCCTCAGGACTCTCCGGCTGGGACGACGACAGCGACACGGGGCTCATGCAGGAGAACTGGCCCCAGCACGTCATCTTGGCCAAGCCCTTGTGCCCCGAGGACGATGAGTGGGACGATGTGAGCCTCCTGGAGCTGCCCCCAGAAGACGGCAAACACCAGAAAAGGAAAGTTTTAGTGGCAGAGGGGCTCCCAGTGCCCGTCCCTCGGGAGGCCTGGGCTGAGTGCCCGGCACAGGAGCCGTGCAGCCAAGGGCCAGCGCCTGCCCCGCACAGCCCCCCCAGCCCCTGGCCTGCCCGGCTGGGAGCCCAGGCCCTCCGCGGGCAGCCAGCTGCCCCCAGGAAACGTCCCTCCCGCTTCAGGCGGGCGCTGCGGGCGCTGCGGGGGCTGTTCCGCTGTCCCTGCCTCAGGCCACGGACGGAGGAGTGGCACTTTCAGGGCACCGACAGCCGCCAGTGCTCCCACAGCCTCCCTCCCTGCAGGGCTGCGGCTCTCACAGGGCCGCCAACACCAAAGGGAGCTGGGGCTGGCAAACAGCAATAGGGAGATGCCAATCTCAATCCGTTCGTGTAGGGAAAAGACCAACACAAAGGAGGTGACCAAGACGACAAAGGCCATGAAGAAGCATTGAAACATTAAGCAGATGATGAAAACAAATAGGAATTCAATAATGCAGGGTAGAAGAGTAATAAGGAATTACAAATATTTTGAAGAAGAAGTGTAATTGGAATAAGAATTTATGATATAAGACATGGACAAGAAGAAAGGGTACCCCAACTGTAAGCTTCTGGAATCCAATGTTGTTTCATGGTCCTTAAGTTGGTGGCAGCAGGAATTTCCACAGGAGGCATTTTTCCTGTGAGAACAGGAGCAATTCTGATTTTACTCCTTGTGTGCTGCCACGCAGCCCCAGAAAGGAGGGGTGCTTTTCTACACATGTGCACACACATCTGAAGTGTGTGAGTCCCCCACTTGTTCCACTTTGATTCTGAAGCCTTGTACCCATGTGTTCTTTTTCTCCTTCTTGTTGCTCAGTTGTGCTTCAATGTTTGCAAAATAAAACAGATGACAGGAAACATGGAATTGACATGTTTAAAAAATAAGAACAACCAGTGAAATAATTGCAGATGAAGGATTTTTTTTAAATGGGATAGTTTTTGTTTTATTAAATCTCTTATCAGTAGAGATGCTGTTCCAAACTACCTTTTTATGCCTTTTGACCCAGATGAATTTATACTGGTTTATCATTTTTAATGCCTTTTGAGGAACATGTACAGCAGCCTAGTGCCATGGAAAGTAGTTTTCTGTCCCAAGTAGCCTAAAGCACTCGTTTCTTGCTCCCAGAGTGACCGAGCCCCGTGTGTTCGGTGTCCCGGCGCACAGCCCGGCCCCGGTATCTGCACGGGGGATCTGGCCCGGGACAGCCGAGCGGCGCTGCTGCCGCGGCCGAGCGCAGCCCCTGGGGCCGCTGTGCGGGTGCATTTGAAGGGCACGGACACAATGGCAGCGCCGTGTGTCTTTGTGCTCCAGGTCTGCGCTGCCCGTGCGGGCGGAGCGGGGCTGGCGGGAGCCGCGCTCCCCTCAGAGCCCCTGAGGGCGGCAGCGATGGCGGCGCCGCTCCCTCAGCGCCCGGCCCCGGCCCCGGCGGGCGGGGAGCCCTCGGCAGCGCCCGGCCGGCAGCGGGGAGCGAGCCCCGGCCCGGCCGCTGTGCCCGTGGCGCCGCAGAGGCGAGGGGAGAGCCGCAGGAGCCGCTGCCTCGGGCACTGCCCCGGGCCGGGGGCAGCAGCCGGGCCCGGCCCTGCGGCAGCGCAGGAGGCTCTGGCGGTGCCGCTTCTCCAGCTCGGCCCGGTGCCCGGGCACGGCCCCGGCCTTGGGGCTGCCCCTGCCCCGCTCAGCTGCCCGTGCCCTGCCCGGGCGTTGAGGAAAAAAAACAACTTGGGGAAAACATGGGCAGAAAACCGAATGTACCACTTAACAATAACTTAATGAAATAAACACAAACTGCAACAGGTTCACGTCTGCTCCGCTGCTGTTGGGGTTCCAGGGTGGCCCTTTGTGACACGGCACATGGTGTCACGGCCCTTTGTGATGTGGGACGTGGTGGTGGCCAGAGACCCTTGTGACATCAGGGAGCTCCGCCAGGGCTGAGGGTCTCCAAGGGGCGCGGAACCCTGGGGTGCTCATTCCCAGGAGAGCCGCTCTCTGAGGAGGAAGCAGCTCCCTGGCTCTGTCTGCGCCTGACGCTGACAGCGATAGCAGCCGACAGCGACAGACAGCGACAGCGACAAGGACAAAGCCAACTCCAACTCCCGGTCCCACAGCTCCTTGCCCAGCTGGCTGGAAGCCACCAGCGAGCCGTGGTCAGGGGCAGTGGGCAGCTCAGTCCTGTCGCTGTCACAGAGTGAGGAGGAGGAGAGGATCTTTGCCAAAATGGACCGAGAGATTTCCTGGAGGGAAGATGTGGAAGAGACCCACCAGAGAGAAGTTCCAGGAGCCCAAGAAATGTCCGGGCAGGGAACGAGGAGCAGCCAAGAGCTGTACCAAGGCCAGGTACGTGTGAGAGTTTGGGAGGGTTCCCAGTACAGAGGTGGGACACACCAAGAGCTCTGTGAAGGGGAAGAAACTATCAGCGCTCAGGAGCTGTCCCAGTGGGAGGAGGACAGTGAGATGTACCAAGAGGGGCGGGAGAGGGAAGAACGTGTGACAACCCAAGAGATTTCCCAGTGGGAAATAGATGTGAGTGGGTGGCAGGAGATGGGATGGGGAGAAGACGAGAGGTGCCACGAGGGCTGTCCCTGCAGAGAGATCTGAGTGTCCCAGAGGATTCCCAATGGGATGATGCCCAAGAGCGTTCCCAGAGGGAAGGTGAGAGGTACCAAGACCTCTCAGCATGGGGACAAGGTGTGCACTGCCACATGTCCCAATGGGAAGACAGGAGAGAGCTGGAATTGTCCCAAGTGAGAGACAGCAGTGGCAGGGAGCTGTGCCAAGGAGCAGACGCTGCAGCCCAAGAGCTGCCCCGGTGGGACGATGTGAGGGAGCGAAAGCTGTCCCAAAGGGAGGAAGATGTGAGCAGGCAGGAGCTGTCCCGATGGGGACACAACATCAGCTCTGAGATCTGGGACAGACCCTTGTGCCCAGGGAGGGACGAAGAGCCTCAGCCTTGTCCCCCAGAGGGGCCCAGCTCTGCCAGCCCCGTGGGCACAGAGGTGGCAGCAGAGGCAGTGCCTGCCCTAACCAGCGCCTCTCCTGCCCCACAGAGTCCCACGGAGGCCGAGCCGGCAGCTGCTGCCCCGGCTGGAGCTGCTGAGGAGGAGGAGGAGCCAGGGTGGGCAGTGTTGGCGCTGGCAGGGCCAGTGCAGTCACAGCACTGGAGCCTGGAGGCCTTGGCTCCGGACAGTGACTGGGATTCTGATAGTGAGGAGGAGAGCCCGGTGCCTGCCCCACACAGCACCCCCAGCCCCTCATCTGCCCCGCTGGGAGCCCAGGCCCCCTGGGAGGAGCCGGAGTGGGCAGTGTTGGCGCTGGCAGGGCCAGTGCTGTCACAGCACTGGAGCCTGGAGGCCTTGGCTCCGGACAGCGACTGGTCATCCGACAGTGAGGAAGAGGAAGGAGAAGTGGAGCCAGAGCTGTCCCAGGGGACAGTCTCGCTCATCCAAGAGCTGTCCCAGGAGGAGGACGATGTGAGCTCCAGCTCTGGGGAGAAGCCTGTGGGCCCAGTGAAGGAGGGGGACACCCAGCCTTCTCCCCCAGAGGGGCCCAGCTCTGCCAGCCCCGTGGGCACAGAGGTGGCAGCAGAGGCAGCCCCTGCCCTGCCCAGCGCCTCTCCTCTCCCCGGCAGTCCCACGGAGGCCGAGCCGGCAGCTGCTGCCCCGTCCGGAGCTGCTGAGGAGGCAGCAGCGGGGTCAGGGCTGGCAGTGCAGGAGAGGACAGATGACGACGACGATGATGAAATGAAATTCTGGCAATACTTGGATGACCTGGCGCCTTTCCTGGTTGGAGACCCAGAGCTGTCTCAGGAAGCCTCCTACTATGAACAATACAGAGAGGAAGATCTGCCCCATGGTGTAGTCATGAGTTATCACCAACTCTTTGACTGGGAAAAATATTTGGAGCAAGACCTGTCCCAGGGAGAAGTCAGCAGCTCCCAAGGCCCCTCGGACTGGGAAGAATACCCTGAGCAAGTGCTGTGCGGAGGAGATGTCATCAGCTGCGAAGAGCTTTCGGACTGGGAAGAACACCTTGGCCAGAAGGTGTCCAGAGGGAATGGCAGCAGACCCTCAGGACTCTCCAGCTGGGGCGACGACAGCGACACGGGGCTCGTGCAGGAGAACTGGCCCGAGCATGTCATCTTGGCCAAGCCCCTGTGCCCCGAGGACGATGAGTGGGACGATGTGAGCCTCCTGGAGCTGCCCCCAGAAGACAAGAAAGACCAGAAAAGGAAAGTTTTAGTGGCAGAGGGGCTCCCAGTGCCCGTCCCTCGGGAGGCCTGGGCTGAGTGCCCGGCACAGGAGCCGTGCAGCCAAGGGCCGGCGCCTGCCCCGCACAGCCCCCCCAGCCCCTGGCCTGCCCGGCTGGGAGCCCAGGCCCTCCGCGGGCAGCCGGCTGCCCCCAGGAAACGTCCCTCCCGCTTCAGGCGGGCGCTGCGGGCGCTGCGGGGGCTGTTCCGCTGTCCCTGCCTCAGGCCACGGACGGAGGAGTAAAACGGGCACGGAAAAGGGTGAAGAGCATGAAGAGAAGGAAGGTGAAGAACAGGAAGATGAAGATGAACGCTCCTGCCAGTCCCGCTCCTCTGTGTCGGAGCAGCAGCTCTTCGGCTCGGCTCGAGGGGCTCAGAGATTGCTGCTGCAGCTCCTCCAAGCCAGGGAAGAGAAAAGCCTTTGGATGGGCCAGACAAGCCAAGCAAGCCAAGCAAAACCCAGCCAGGCAGAGCCATGAAGACCTGGGCAGTGAGGCTTGGAAAATGCCCACCCAAAGAGCCCAAAGCTCCCCCATCCCTGCCCCGCACACACCCGGCCCCGGGCTGGAAGGTGCAGCAGCCATTTCTTGGGCACAAAGCAGAGGCTCCTGGAACAGACTCTCAGCACAAACCCCTCCGGGACAACGGCACTGAAGACAAAGACAAGGATGAAGACAATGACCCTGAAAAAAAATGAAGAAGATGAAGACGACCTATCAGATGAAGAAGACGAAGACCGTGAAGAAGATGAAGACAAATAGGATGGAGAAGATAGCAAAGAGGAAGAAGACAAAGATGAAGACTAAAAAGACAAGACAGAGAACGTTTATTGAAGAATAGATAGAAGAAGTATAGGAATAAGAATTTAGAGATACTTAGAAGAAGAGTACTACGAATAGGAATAAGAATTTCAAAATATGTAGAAGAAGAATAGGAATAGGAATAAGGATTTTAAAATATGTAGAAGAAGAAGAAAAAAAAAGAATAAGAATAGAAATAAGAATATAAAAATACATAGAAGTAGCAAAGAAGTATAGTAAGAGTAGGAAGAAGAAGAACTGTAAGAAGAATAAGAATTGATATATGAAGAGAAAATAAAAGGAATAAGTAAAATTAGCACATAATTTATTTTTATTACATATTATATATTTCTATTACAGTTATGAAATAAAAACATTAATGTACCATATGTTGTAATCACAATGCATCATAACGCCCCCACGCAGTTCCCGTTAGTGAAGAATCTGTGTGTTTGCTAACACCGTCGGTCAGGCCCCAGAGCAGAGTGCCCAGATTCCGTGTCCTGTCTCTCCGAGGTGCCGATGCACTGTCCCAGCCCGAGCCCCGGAGCGCCCCGCGGGCAGCGCGGGCTCAGCCCCAGCGGCAGCGGGAGAGTTCCCGGCCGGGCCGGCGGGGCAGGGCTGTCGCTGCTCTCTGCGGGCAAACGGGAGGCGCAGGCTGAGCCCGGCTGGCAGAGAGCTGTGCCGGGCAGCCCTTTGCAGCAGGGCTGTGCAGGCAGCACAGCGAAGGCAGCGGAGCCCCGCTCTGCCGCTGCCCGTGGCCGGGGAGCCGGGCCGGGGCTGTTCCTGCAGCCCTGCCTGCCTCCAGCAGCCCTGGGCCGGGCGGGAGGGGTTCCCCCGCTGCAGCCCCGGCTGAGGCAGCAGCAGCAGCTCTGTGCTGCTCCTGACACATCCCTGCGGCAGCAGCTGCACGGGGCTGTGCAGCCACAGAGCCCAAAGCAGCGCAGCAGCAGCGCAGCAGCAGCGCAGCTCTGGGGCTCTGCTGCTGCTGCTGCTGCTGCTGCTGCTGCTGCTGCTGGGCAGCCCCACAGGGCTCAGGGCTGAGCAGCCGTGCCTGGAGCCGCTCCTGGCTCCTCCAGCCTCGGGGCTGCTCCTCTGCTGCTCCAGGGCAGGGCCTTTCTCCGGGGTTGGCTTTTCTTTCTGCTGGGAGAGCTCTCACAGAACCCCAGGATCCCTGGGGCTGGAAAAGCCCTCCCAGCCCAGGGAGTCCCAGCTGTGCCCCATGCCCACCTTGTCCCCAGCCCAGAGCACTCAGTGCCACCTCCAGGGGACACCTGCAGGGATGGGCACTCCAAAGCTCCCTGGGCAGCCCCTGCCAGGGCCTGAGCCCCCTTTCCATGGGGAAATTGCTGCTGCTGTCCCAGCTGAGCCTGCCCTGGCCCAGCCTGAGGCCGTTCCCTCTCCTCCTGTCCCTGTTCCCTGGAGCAGAGCCCGACCCCCCGGCTGTCCCCTCCTGTCAGGGGGTATAGAAGGATTGTTCCTTTCCTGGGCCCTCTCCTCCTCTTCTCTGCTTTCCAAAACTAAAATGGAATCACTGAATTACAAATGCCACACGAATATTTGGGACTGGATGTTGGCCCATTTCTTGTGTCCACAGGGACAACCAAGTGTCTCCCTCCTCCCGTGCCCAAAATCCAACAGCAGAGAGTCCCTAGGCCAGCATTCTCTCTGTGGGAGCAGCAGGAGGGAAGTTTGAGGACTTCTGCAGCCCATGAGAGAGGGGAAGGCAGGAAATCTCCTTTCTTTCTGTCTTTTCCACACCAAAGGAGACTCCTGCAAGGAGAAAAGGAATTGTTCACGGTGGAGCTGCCCCCTGGGGCTCCAACCCACAGGAGAGGCCTGGGGCAAAGCCAGGCTCCTCATAAAACAGGAAAGCTGGACAGGACAAACACACGTCAAACCAATATGGTTAATTAAACGTTCTCCGTTTATTAGTGAGAAGATGGCACTTTACACACACTTCTATATAGTTTACAGTTTACAAAGGCACTCTCATTGGCAAGCTAACATTGTTTGTCTTTGTCTTAAGGTGGACTAAACTTCTCATTATAAACCTATACTACTTCACACCCAGACAGCCCAGCTCTTCATATCACACCTTAATAGAATTTCTAACTGTGCCACAAACTCTTAATTTCTAACTGTGCCACAAACTCTTAATTTCTAACTGTGCCACAAACTCTTAATTTCTAACTGTGCCACAAACTCTTAATTTCTCACTGCGTCACAGGCTGGAAGGCCTCACAAGGCCCGATCTGAGGCCCAGACTGGAGTAGCTCAAATCTCATTCCAGACATAAATCATGGCCTCTCTCTCTCAGAAATGCTGCAACACTGGGGGACATCAGGTGTGCTCCCACCTGCAGCTCGGCACTTCAGAGCTGGGCCAGGAGTGGAAAATTTGGAGAGAAAACAGATTATCCAGAACCACACTTGATCTGTGTCCCCTCACTCCCCGCACTTGGAGAAGGTGCTGGATAAATGATGCAGGGCGAGTGTAGGAAATCAGGAGGAACTCTGATTTTACTCCCCGTGTGCTGCTGTGCAGCCTCGGAAAGGAGAGGAGCTTTTGTGCACGGCTGAAGCGTGCGAGTCCTCCGGGAGTTCCACACCCTTCTGAAGCCTTGGTGGACCCAGCTGTTGGATTTTCCCTGATGCTGCTCAGTTCTACTTCAGTGTGCCCAAAATAAAGAAGAGCACAGGAAACCAATTTAAAATTGGTAAGCTTTTTCTAACATAGTTTTTTGTCTGCTTCTCTGAGATCCTTCCCCTGGTAGGGGATATACAGTTGTTCTTGCATGGGAGCTGCTGAGCTTAGCTTTGAGACACTTTGTCACTGGGGCATTTTCTCTAGGGCTGAATCCTATTTCCATGGTCAGACAGGCTGGTGGGAGGAGCTGTTTGTGACCTTAAACAAGGAGGATGGAGAGAGAGAGAGGAGTGTCCACAGTGCTGAGGACGGGGAGGACTTGAAGGGTGGGAGGCACCGAGGGGATGCTGCTGGGGATCCTCCGGTGACGGTGGAGGATCAAGGGGGACAGGGCAGCTGCAGGTGTGGCTGCCTCTTCCACCTCTTATGCTGTGCTTTAGGAGATCAGAAATCATTTGGAGCTGAAGCAGGAGCTGGAGGAAGATCCTTCTGGAGGACTCCTTTTGTGTGGGCAAACAGCAGGGTCTGACACGGTAAGGGAAAAGAATTCCACTGAGACGTCCCTCTCCAGTCTTTCTTCCAGCACAAGGAGTCCTTGAAGTTCTCTTTTTCTCCAGCAGCTCTGTCCCTCTCTCCAGCCTTCCCTCCTGGTCCAGCTCACTCACCAAATTTCCTCTCTTCCAGCACGTTTTTGCTTGGCTTTGCGAAGAACATCCTTAGTGTCCTCCCTGGGAGGTGGAATGGGAAAGTGAATTTTCCCCAAAGGGTTGGAGGCACTGCTCACTCTTCCCAGTTGGGAACTTTAATTCATTCTGCTTTAGAAACTTCACAGAATTCTGAGATTATGGGCAGGGTGGGGTGGGGGGGGGGGAGGGGGTGTGGGGTGTGGAATTGCTTTTAAAACCTCTTTCCTTTTTATTGATAACTGTTGTACCATACTGGAGCCTCTCAGAGAGCATTGGTGCCCTTGTTAGAGACAGAACAGTTGTAACTCATCTTCATATTCACAGCCACTTCCAGGGATTATTTCTCAGGCAGTGACAAAAGGAAGGACAAAGCCTGACACTCTGGATTGTTACCCAACAAAAAGGCTAAGAAAAGTCTTTTGCAAGGAAATCTGTCTGTCCCTGGTAGAGCATGAAGCATGCGTTCTGTGTTTCTACTCCTAGAGCACAATAGCTGAAATTTAAAGGCAAATAACCCCCAAAATTCTGCAGTTCCCGGAGCTGGGCTCTGAGAATTCCTGACTTTGTACTTGGGCAATTCAAGAGCGATGAAACAGAGAGAGTTAAATTGGATTTTTTTTGTGAGCTAAGGCAGTGAAATCCTGTCTCAGGAGCTCCAAGCACAATTCTAGCTGTATCACAGCTCTATGAACATCTTGCCTGGAATATTCTCAGTGTCACCATTTAGTTCCCGCTTGCCTTCGGAAGTTGCACAATGAATTAAACCCAGGAGCTGTGATTCCTCGGGAGAAGGCAGCGGCACTTGCTGGTGTCTGTGGTACCTTTAATTTATGATCTCTCTCCTGGCTGAGGACTGGTTTCTCCATTAGCACCCCCCTTAAAGGTCACATTCGGAGATGCATTTTTCTCTCTGACATTTGTCCACATGCAGCATATAGGAAGAAATTAAGTTTGCAGATGTGACCTATGATAACATTTCTGAAATAAATCCAAACTAATCTGCCACAAAATATTGCTGAGGAACTGCTTGAAATGTCAGTGTGCCAGTGAGATGAACAGTTGTCTTTTATTGGATGTGCTGCTCTGCTGAAGTGTCCTCCAAGCAATTGCCCGTGGATAAAATCTGTCCTAAAATCTGCCTTTTCCATTTATTGCCAAGCATGATTGCACTCTTAAAAGCTTCTAGACCAATCACAGCATTCAGACTGAAATATGTTTATATTAAATATGAAAAGAAGATGAACAATTACATTTTTATTTTTCCACATCTATTTATTATATAGTTATTCATTATATAGATATTCATTGCTTAGTTCTATCTTATATATTTTATTATCACTTGTTTATTAGATATAGATTTCTTTATTTTTGTTCAGAAATAAATACATATATAACATATAAAATATATTAAAATATACTTTTAGAGCATTTGTATGACATGTATTCCTGTCCTGTGCAGTTGTACAAAGGACCTGATGAAACTTACTCAATTATTTCATATCTGTGGGTGCTTAAGAGATGAAATCTTGACTCTGCTGGAACAAGTGGGGACAATTCCCAGTGTGTTTGTTGTGTGTATTTCAACCAGATGTGACTGATGTGACCGATGTTTGAAGGAGCTGGGGCTGTTCAGCCTGGAGAAGAGGAGGCTCAGAGGTGCCCTTATTGCCCTCCACAGCTCCTGAAGGGAGGCTGCAGACAGGTGGGGTCGGTCTCTGCCCCCAGGCAGCACTGACAGAACAAGAGGACACAGCCTCAGCTACGTCAGGGAAGGTGCAGGTTGGATATTAGGAAAAAAATTTCTCTGAAAGAATAATAAAGTGCTGGAATTGTCT